GGGGGGATGGTTATGCCACAATCCCTTTTCCTCCATTCTCTTCTCAGGATTTTGGGCATACACGTACTCATGGCCAGCATGATTTTCAAGCACTGGGTCCAGGACTTGAACCATGCAGGTGACCATGTGGGCTCCAGCTGCCTTCACTATAGCACCTGGTTGGCCTCATATCTGTCTAATTTTTTTTTAAAGAATTATTTAACTTTGTTTATCATTATGCTTTTTATAATTTATTTTTTAATTATCATCATAATCTTGTTTATATTACATTGGATTGCATATAACTTTACAGTGTATTACATTGCTTTTTCAAGAGGGAATGCCATGCATGTCAGTCAGTACAGAGACATTAATCTCCCCGCTTCATCCTTCAATATCTTTTCAATGTTTTTCCCAATCATTATTATTATTATTCTAATTATTTTTAAACAGTCGATCACTATTTCTCATTTTGCTTGTGAAAAGACTTTACCCATCATGAAATACTTCTGAGACCAATCCAGTTGAGAATACTATACATGCCATCATCAACAGGTAATAAGCCATATCTATTTCTCACTAACGTCCTGCCTCTCTATTTGTTCTCTTGCTATCTTTCTCTATCCTCTTCTCTTCACCCTCCCATTTCACACTGTCTTATTCCGGTTAAGTACTTTCACTGCTTTTATGTCCTCCAATATTACGCTCTCTACCATAGATCATCATTATGTTTTAATTTGACCAGGGAGAGACAGGAAGACAGGAAGAGGGAAAGTGACAAAGCAAGCTGCCAGGTCCAGGACTCAAACTGTGGTTGGCCATGTGGGAGTCCAGTACCTTAAGCATCATGCTACCTGCTGGCTCCTCTGTCTAATCTTATACCAGTAGTACCTGTGTCTTCATTATGCTAATTTTGTATATTTACTACCTAATCCCATTAGTCCTTCATTACTCTTCTTTTGCAAAATTTTCTTTGAAAATCACTCTTCTGTAGCTTTCAAATGCAATTATTTGCTGTCTTACTCCTCAGATATTTTTTTTTTAAAGTTTATTTGGGGTGAGGGAAGGAAGTGCACTCCAACACTCATGGCATGAACCACGCTCAGCCAGTTGAGATCATGGGCATATGTATGCCTGACGTGTTCACAGAGGTTCTAGGCATGAACCAGGAACCTTTCCATGTAAGGTCAGCCTCATAAAGCATTACTCTTGCACCATTATCTGGCCTCTGAATTTTTGAGGACAGGATTGTTTCTTTTCTTAGAATAAATTGCCAAAAATACTTGTACTGGGTCAATAAGTATGAACATTTTTTCCCCACTCTTAGCACTTACAAAATTTTCAGAAAGGGTTGTCAATGTCATTGTAATTCTGCCAATACCTAGATATTTCAAAATAAAGATTTTTTAAAGTTGGTCAGGGAACCTCCATTTCTATATCTCTGTTTATTAATGATGACAAATATATGCTTGACACATAATAGGTGCTTAATCAATGCTTGTTCAATAAATAAATGGCATGCATAAATCTGTACATGTATTTAGAGATGGGGAGGTTCAAACAAATATTGTGATAATAGGTAAATACTGGCTAGATATATATTTGCAGCCTAAATGCTTGTTGTTCAGCTGCAGAGAGGTTTTAGAAATGTCAGAAACACCCTGAAATTCAAACCCTAACCCTAATCCTGAATTGAGGCAAACCTTAGAAACTTACATTTACCATAGACATGTCTGTTTCCAGGCAGGATCAGTGGAAAGGATCAGCTGAAAGCTATCAGAAACAGTTCAGATGATTTGTGGGTATGTCTGCTCCTGCATGGAGCCTGAAGCAGCCATGATTGGCTTAAGATAGAGTCTGCTTCCTCTGGCAGCCAAATAATAATAAGTGGTAGGTATCTGACTACTCCACTGGAAACTGACTCAGGTCCTAGCAAGTTTTCTGCAGTGAATTCAAAACACATAAAAACAAACAAAAAACAAACAAACAAAAACAAACAAACAAACAAAAAACCTCAATCTGACTCACAGAGATAGGCATTTTCTGTGAAACCACACATTTCTTCCCACTTGCTAAGCCACAAAAGACATGGAAGTACTTGATTCAGAGCTTGGTTTTCTCTTTTCCTTCTGTAGCTTGATGACTAGAGTCATTTTTCCTCCTAGGAACTATGATATTTATTTGGGAAAAGATTATTAAAGCAAAAACTATTAAAAGGCAGGCTGTTCTTTTTCATTTTGTTTTGTTTTTGTTTTTAGGTATTTGCCATAGGGAAATCCCTGGGGGGATAGCCATGCCACAATCCCCTCTCCTGAATTTTCCTCATGGGATTTTGGGCATACACACACATGTGCCTGGTTGGATTTTCAAGCCTTTGGGTCTGGGACTGGAAGCATGGTTGGCCATGTGACACACTATCTGCTGACCTCTATTGGTTTTTAAGACCATGTAAACTCATTACCAATACATTGGTTCTCTTTGCTCTATTATTACCTAAATAGAAGATTCTATTAGTAAGCTTTTCCAAGGCCTTCCTTGGTCATGAAATGTGTTGATTTGATGAAGAGAATTCCGTATTATTATCTTAACCTGAATATGCTGAAATTGTACCGTGTTTTATTCTGAAAAACAAAGTGCTGCTTTCCCTTGATGCAAGAGTACCTAAAAGTATCAAAGCCACGGCCAGCAGATGGCGTAATTGTTATGCTACTGGACTCCCACATGGTCGACCATGGTTCAAGTCCCAGACTTGGCAGCTTAAAACTAATGCTGGGTGCGTGTGCATGTGTGCCCAAAATCCCAAGAGGAGAATGGAGAAGAATGGACTGTGACATGGCCATCCTCCCTGGGGGGTGATTTCTTGCTTTCTGTCTCTTTATCTTTCTGTTTCTCTGGCGAGTGCACATGCCCTATAGCAAAAATTTCTTATTAAAAAAAAAGAAGAAGAAAAAAAGAGTATCAAGGCCATGGTTGATTGTACAGATGACTGATTTGTGAACAGTGTGCTGACAATTGCTATTACAGCTGTCTCATTTCATCCAGCTAGCAGATTAATAAATTCAAAGTTTAAACAACAACAAAACCCTTCTCCCACCAACAGTATTAAGTACTACAAACATAGCAAGATAGCAGACAAGATATCAAAAGGTGAAGACCTGTCGGTTCTTATCTGACAAAGTATCACTGTTTGATATGTTAACACAATACTCCCAAAGGACTTTTCCTCTAACCTCAAATAATAGCACTTAAAAAGCCATTTCACAGGCCCTTTTTCCTTACTCAGACATATAATTCTAGGTTGCCACTTCCTTTAGAAACAACATTAAGCCTCCTTGTTTTCCAGTCTTTCATTTCAAATCTATTCTCATCAATTCTCAGCCTATTCAAACATCTGTTTACCACTTCTTTGAATAACTAGCTCTAAAACTCATCTCTCCCAAGACTTCATGATTCATTTCCCGCTACTGTTAAGTCTCTTTAGCTCACAGATATAGTCTGTTGGTACCATAATTGATTTTGTTCTCTAATGATTCTAATTTTGTTAATGTTTCTGGAATATAAATCTTTTCTAGTCAGGGGAATTTCCAGAAAGCTGACAAAGAATTTTAAGACTGATAATTATATCCTTTGCCCTACCCATTGTACCAATGAAGAAAGTGAGGCCTACAGAGGTTAATCAGTCCAAGTTAGTTAGTCAAGTTAGTAGAAAAACAAGGTGTTGAGCCCAGGTGCCCTGACTTTCAATAGCGTGCCTCCTACTATATTAAGTCACCTTCTCCTATTTCACTTGTGTCTCTTCAAAATGCCTTGTAAAGTGCTATACACATACACACATCTCTGAATGAACATAAAAGCTCACATAACTGAGAAATTGACTCAAGAAAAGAAAAAGTAAAAAAGGTTATTTTCTTACTTCTTTGCATGGTGCCACCCTCCAGACCAGTTAATTGCTACTTTGCACACTCCATCAATCAGGCACTGGGCAGCTGTGATTGTAGCCCCTCCGACAGCTGCTGCATAGTCAAATATCCCTTCAGTGGCTGGGCAGTCATAACCTTAGGGCAAAAATCAGAAAAGCTTATTAACAGTAAACTGGAAAAAATAATAGGTTGAGGTGTGATAGCAACATACCTCCTAAAAAGTTACTGTGCTAACATTACCTCCAACTGAGACAGAAACATCTCCAATGATGGGAAAAGAATTTTTTTTTAATGTTAGAGCTTGAAAGGATAAAGCTTTGAGACACACTAGTCACATCTACAGATGGAGAAAGCAAGGCCTAATGCGTGATGTGTCTCGTTGGTCTCACACAGAGCAAGGCCTAGACCCCAGGTCTCTTGACTCCAAACCCATTGTCTTTCTACTAAACCATGCTTTTTCTCTATAGACTATCTTGTTGGCCACTTATAGTTAAAAATGCAGCTGTTTAATAAGGAGTAAACATTTAGCCAGAACGAATTTATATTCAAAATACATAAGGTCTCAGGGACAGCTAAATTAGTAAACACATAGCCCAACCAGATCTGAGCAGTACCATTAAAGCCTGAGCAACTGGGGTTTTCCTCTATCTGACCCATCACTCAGTCTTACTCAACTCATGGTTTGCTTAGTTGATGAGTTATATGTAGCTAAACTGAGAGATTAAGATTGGGGGCCAGCAAGTGGCATGGTGATTAAGGGCACTGGACTCCCACGTGGCCAGTCCTGGACCTGGTGGCTTGCTTTCTCACTTTTTCTCTCTTTCTCTCCCTCTGTCTGTATCTGGTCAAATTAAAATAAATAAATAAATAAAGTTAGATAAAATAATTCTTTAAACAAAAGAGTGACAACACATGATCTTAATTATAAAAGTAGTAAAAACTATTGTACAAGTTATTTTTATAAGAAGTAGTATAATCTCCAGATGGAGGCTGGCGATCTCCCCTCAGTGCCTGGTAATGACTTTACCTAGCCCATATTCTATGGAGTCCGGATGATCATCGTCGCCTTCTTGGCTGACCTTCTGGAGATGCTGCAGATAGGCATCGGTGTGGAAGGTGGCCAGCTCCTCCATGGAGGCCACTTTGGGTTTCACTATCCTAATAATAACAGAGAGAACAAAGAGAGGTGAGTGAGTCAGACCCAGAGTATGACAGACTCTGGAAACAGAAGCTAGGAGTCTGAGCAGATAGTACAACTCCCAGCTTTTGACTCCAGTGGGCTAAAGTAATAAACATATTCTGTTCGTCCTCTGCACCGTACAATCTTCACTTCCTCCCATCTGTGGTAGTGACTCCACTAAGAAGGAACAAAAACATAGATTTTTTTCCCCCTTGAGCTTATAGATAGGCAAAACTAAGTAAATAATTAGATTTAAATTAAACAAATTCAGGTATCAGACAAACTTTACTCTGAGTTACAACTTTCATGACAAACTAGTACACAGAGATATTTTCATTTGAAGCAGTTGCTCATTGGGCTACATAATCCTTTCAGCTGTATCTTTATTTTAACCGGCAGCAGTCTTACGCATTTGGAATTTAGAATCAGATTTGGAGGCAGAGAACTGGGTTCCTGTCCTAACTTCATACTTACTAGTTCTATAACCTCAAGTAAGATGACTGTTCTGTAATTCTGTAACCCAGTTTCCTCATCTGTAAAATGAGGAATCTTATGAGTTTTACATGAAGATTAAATGGTAACACATACAGAAATTCCTTGTGGATAACTACTGTTAATAATAAAGGATAAAAATAGATGGGTCCATATGGTGGTGTGAGAGTAAAATGTGATTCTCTTCGAGGCTGACCTACATGGGAAGGTTTTGGGTTGGAGTCCAGAGACCTCCCTGAGTATGACAGGCATGTATATGCCCACGATCTGAGGCTAGCTGAAGCTGAGAGTGGGGATGGACTGTCGGAAAAGTACCCTGTTAGAGGTGCTGACTCTATCTTTTTCTGTCTCTCGTCCTCCCTCTCTTTCTTGCTCAGGGAAGAAAGAAGTAAATAAACTTGAAAAAAAAAAAAAAGGCAATCTAAAATGTAACTAGAGCCTCTCTACCTACTCTTCCCAAAAAGTGGCCGAACAGGAATGAATCTGAGAAGAAAGAGAGTTAAAGTTAACCTAACGATGGGACTTCTCAATTCTAACCTCCAGCTGCCCATTCCCAATTCCCATTTTCCTGAACTCACCATTACTACTACTGTTCTCTGGCCCTTGCCACTTAAAGGGCGATCTGTGGACTAGCGACATCAGTATCACCTGGGATCTCATTAGAAATGCAGAACTTCAGCCTCACCTCTGACCTACTGATTCAGAATTTGTATTTTAAGAAGATAATTTTCACCCACAAGCATGGTGAACGTCCCTAAAACCCGCCAGACCTTCTGTAAGAAGTGTGGCAAGCACCAACCTCATAAAGTGACACAGTACAAAAAGGGCAAGGATTCTCTGTATGCTCAGGGAAAGCGGTGTTATGACAGGAAGCAGAGTGGCTACAGTGGACAGACTAAGCCTATTTTCCGGAAAAAGGCAAAAACTACAAAGAAGATTGTGCTGAGGCTTGAACGTGTTGAGCCCAACTGCAGATCTAAGAGAATGCTGGCTATCAAGAGATGTAAGCATTTTGGGAACCAGCAGTTAGCGTAATGGCTATGTTGCTGGACTCCCACGTAGTCAACCGTGGTTCGCATCCCGGACCTGGTGGCTTAAAACTCATGCCAGGTGCGTGTGTGTGCGTGCCCAAGATCCCGAGAGGAGAATGGAGGAGAAGGGATTGCGGCGTGACCATCCTC